GGAAGGTTGTTAGAAGAAGCAAGAAGTCAACTGGATAGGGACCAACTGGGGAAGGAACAACCACAAGAAGAGGATTTGTCTTCAACTGCCTATACTGTTAGGAAATGTTTTTCTTGTGGGGCTAGGGGACATAGAGCTAGATTCTGTAAGAAGGGCAAACGACAGAATACTGGTAATCACCAGAAGGCTAAGAAGAATGTTAATTTAGCTATGTCTAGCAATTCAACTGTAAACCATGATTTGTGGGGAGTTGATAGTGGAGCATCACAGAAATAGAGAGAGGTTTGGAGCATCTCTAGAAATAGAGAGAGGTTTGTAATGATGTCCATGAATAAGGAACATGTATCATTGGCAAATGGATGGAAGATGAAAGCGTCTGGTGAAGGTACTGCATATTGTTCATGTATAAATGAGCATTTATCTATGTTATATGTCCCTAAACTGAAATTTAATTTGTTATCAGTAAGGGCTTTAGTTAATATTGGTTATGTAGTAACCTTTAGGGGAGATAACTGTATAATAGAGAAAGAGGGTAAAAGTGTTACTGCTACTTTAGAGAATGATTTATATGTTATACATGATGACCAATTGCAGATGGCTAACTTGGTTTATAACAATGTTAAGCCACATGACGAATGTATACATTTACTGCATAGACGTCTGGGGCACATTAATTTCAAAATTCTGAAACAAACTGTCGAATTGTCAGAGGGAGTAAAATTAAAACCCTGTAGCAAGTACTTAAACTGTAATGCCTGTAGTCAGGAGAAAGGTAAGGTTACTCCAGCAAATAGACTAAATGGGTTTAAGACCAAAGAACCTTTAGAGGTTGTGTTTGCTGACATAATTGGTCCTAAGAAACCCAGTTTGGAAGCTGCCTGCTATGTTTTGAGTATAGTGGACCATTACTCACGGTACGGTTTCTGCTATCTCATGAAAAACAAAACAGAAACATTCCAACATTTCTTTAATTGGCTAAGGTTTACAGAAAGAAAGATGAGACGTAGAGTAATGACTTTAGTTACTGATAATGGGACTGAGTTTGTTAACAATAGATTCCAAACTATGTTAAAATTGGCTAGTGTTGAGCATAAACGTTCTGCACCTTACAGACCACAACATAACTTGTTTGTAGAACGAAGAGGGCAAACATTACAAGCCATGGCTCGCACTATGTTATCTGATTCAGGTTTGCCTGAAACACTGTGGAGTGAGGCCATAATGTGTAGCAACCATGTGTTGAACAATGTAGTTAACACAACAACTGGTGAATTGCCATTCATTCATTGGCATGGCAGAAAGCCAAATTTAAGTTATCTACACACATTTGGAGCTCCAGCATGGGTGCATATTCCCTCACAACTAAGACTGAAAGGGCAATATACAGCTAGAAAATTATTTTTCGTAGGTTACGAGGCCAACCATAGATCATTTAAATTCTGGGATCCAAGCACAGCTCATGTTTATTGTAGCGCTAGTGCTAAATTTCTTGAGCACGTTGGCTGGAATAAACTGGGATAGGAATCCAGCAATGATGTTATTATTGACACCAAAGTAGTCCCTAAAGATGAAATAAGTAAACCACGAATAGCCATTAAAGAAGAAGAACAGGCACAGGAGGAGGTAGGAGAACAGGAGCAGGTGGCACAGGTGAGTCCATCAGTAAGCCCTGCATTACCAAGATGTTCAACCTGAGTAACACGACCACCTGATAGATATCAGGCTAGTGTTGTATGCCAAGTGAATACAGTTCCAAATAACTATAATGAACTGAAACTGTATCCTGCTAAGGATCAGGCTGCTTGGCAGGAAGCAATGGACAAGGAACTGAAATCCTTACAAAGGTTGGAGGTATACGAAAATGTTAAGTTACCATCTGGTAAACATGCCATAGGATATAAGTGGATTTATAAACTTAAGACAGGTGTGGATGGGACTGTTACCCATAAAGCCAAGTTAGTAGCACAAGGGTTCAATCAGACAGCAAATGAGTACGATGAAGTGTTTGCGCCTAGTCTGAAGGCTACTACATTACGAGCAGCATTAGTGTGGGCAGCTAAGGAGAAATACATTATAAATCATTTAGATGTAGAGACGGCATATCTGCATGCACCGTTGCAACATACTATATATTTAAGGAAACCTTTAGGTCTAAAAAATGATAATACAACTGATTGCTGGAGATTGAAAAAGAGTCTTTATGGCTTGAAGCAATCAGGATATGAGTGGAACCACTCCATTAAGGAATTAACTAAGATAGGTTTTGTAGCTGGCATGGCTGATCCATGTTTATTTAAAAAAGGAAAGTGATGGTGTAGTTTCATTGTTGCTATTGTTTACTGATGACATAGCATTAATCACCCAAACTGAGCAAGAAGCTACTGAAATAATTTCACTGTTAGAAAAGAAATTTAAGGTAAAACAGTTAGGTGAAATTAAACAATATCTTGGTTTAAAAATAGATAAAACTAGGGGAGGCTACAAAATCTCACAGGCAGATAAAATTAGCCAGTAACTAAAAACTTTTAAAATGGAACTTTGTAAGCCGGCTAAAACACTGATGAGCCAGGAGTTTAGCCACAGTGATGTTCAAAGTCTTGTTTTTGATAAAAATATTTATCAGTCCTTGATTGGTAGTTTATCTTATCTCAGTAATTGGTCAAGGCCAGATATAGCACACTGTGTTAACCAATTAGCTAGATTTAAAGCTGAGTCAACTGAAAGGAACTGGCAAGCTGCTAAACGTGTGTTCAGACATCTGAAACAAACAATGCATTATGCATTATATTTGGAGCCTAAGGATGAACTAAGTTTAACTGCATATGCTGATGCAAGTTTCGCTACAGACGTTCCTACATGTAAATCTACATCAGGTACTGTGGTATTATTAGGAAGGGTCCTGATTGGATGGAGGTCTATTCGACAGAAACATCTAAGTTTATCAACAATGGAGACTGAATTCTTATGTTTATTTCTATTATGTGCAGATTTAGTTTGTTATAAGCGACTATTGATTGACATGGGAATTGATGTAACAGATTCTATTGTTGTTTATGAAGACAACCAATCAGCAGTACAGATGGGTTCCAATATCGCTGTAAAGACAAGATCAAAACACACAGATCTAAGATATTTAAATGTGAGTCAATGTGTGCAAAATAAAATGATTAAACTGGAGTACTGCATGTCAGATAAAAACATTGCAGATCATTTTACAAAAGCTCAAGCTCTGTAAAGCATAAGGCTTGCTGTGAAGGATATGGACTTAAACTGTAAGGTGTTATATATTGTCCTACCCAAAGGGGAGAATGTTAGGAATTGCTAGTCACCTAACAGTTGGGTTGGAAATATATAAACCAGAATAGACATTTAATACAGTCTCTTTAAGGGAATGCTAAAATTGTAATTGGGTATGGTTCCTCAAACGGCCATAAGATGGAGCCAGAAACCTGGGTTGTTAGTTCTGTTGTTGTTAGTTGCTAGTTGTTAGATGTTCTGATGTTCGCTGTTTTTGGTTCCTGCATTTTCCCTATTGACTTTCGCTGATCGTCGTTCTTCTTGGATTTGATGTGAGTCTATTTACTGAATTGTTTATGATATTGGACTTTGTTATTTGGATTATCCCTGGACTGAAAACTGACTGCTTTAACCGTGAATAACTTGGACTGTTTGTTGGACTTTGCTTAACTGTTTACTGGAAGTAAAACCTACATTTTACTATACAGTGTATCTGTGTGCTGGTTGTGTACTATTCCTCACCACTCTCACTATGTCTCCCTGTGTGCACTCATTCTCCTAACGGGGAATTACCTTAAAACCTCCTTCCTCCAGCTTTGTGCTCATGAGTCCATCCATAACTTCTATAAATTTTTATAAAATGATCATTTATTAGACCTGAATAATAGAATGCTTTGACCTGATATGGAATTGAAGAATGATTGCTGAATGTGGTATATGGTGCAGTATATGTAATATATGACTGTCATGTGAAAATAAACAGAATACTTAACACATAATTCAGCCTTTTGTAAGAAACAAGACAAGAATGGTGTATTTTGCTTATGTATTTATAGGTAAATTTACAAAAATGTTTATGGTGCCTTTAAGGATGTATAACATGAACATGTATATGATTTTGTGTGCAGATGATTTTGTGTTGCTAAAAATCAAAATGATACCTTGTACGATGTATTGAGGAATATGCATTTGAATATGAAATAACAAGGTAACTGTTTGAAAAAGAAAAGAAAGGAAATAATTGCACGATATACACGTATATGGCCAAAAATGACATTTGAGGGATGGTTATTTCAGCTGAAGAGGGGGAGAGGTAGAGGATTTACACTCCATCTTTATTTTGTACAACTCAAGACAGCATACAAAATCCTTCCACCACCTCTTTTTTCCCGCAATAACAACGACCTTGTGAGGTTGTTTAGCTGATAAAGAGTTGCTCAGACAAAGTCACTGAATCAGCTTTCATTTGGGTACTTAAGAAGAGAAAGAGTAAAGAAATGTGTGCTGAATGAAAGTGGAGAAAATATTAAACTACTGTATGTTGAAATAGTCTAATCTTATCTGGAAAATGAATGAGAATCAAATTATGAAAACAAGCACATGAAGGAGGAAATGAATGAGTTGAGAGAAAGGGAAATGTTGAGAAAATCATAGTTGGATAGAGTTTATTAGTTTCCTTAACAAAAGAGAAGTTATTTAAAGAACAAAAGTCAGTGTCTGGCTATGGAGGAAGTAAGTCTTTATCTATGCTCAGTCATTGAGATTCTTGGCCCAATTATAGTTGTAAGTGGAGGACTATGACATTGAAAAATTCTAAATAGGAGAAAAACGATCAAGAATTCATCTTATCCTTATCACAACAAGTATGGCATAGGAGTGGTTCAGGACCTTCAGGTAATTTAAACGAATCAGCTGCATCTTGTGTTCCTTTTTACCTGTAACTTTCTCTGTTTTCTTTCTTTTCTTGTTACCCTGCCCTTCAGTTACCTCTGACAGAAGTGGTAGAGCCAATTGACTTTGAGAAATACCTTAGCACTCACTTGCCAGATGCTGAGCCAGGCCCACTTGGTGACCTGATTGAGTTTCCTAAAGATGACCTGGAAGTGTCCCATGAACCCCGGGATTGTCGGACCCTAGAACCTGGTGTCCCTGAGGATGGGTAAGTGGTATGATGGATAATTACTGAAATAGTTCTATCATACAGTTCCTCACTCCTTTTACCCCATAAGACACAAGGCTACAAGCATTACCAGCACAGGGAATTTGACAGCATGTTTGCATTTTCTGAACTAAAACTTTTTAATTTTGTGCTGTTGAGCACAAAAACATGTTAAAATGAAAATGGGCTTTAAAGAGGAAATCAGTAGTTAATTAAATAATATCTCTAAATGGCAATTGTATGCTGTTTGAGACCTTTTGGATTGTATAAGTATGAAGAATACAACTACCAGATGTGTTACTACTGAGTATTACAAGATGATGTATTTAGACTTTTCCTAGAATGACCCATGGTTATTATTTTGTTATCTGTCTTTTCACATGAGAATAGCATAAAGATAGAAAATATGCCTGAGATATATTTGGTGTATTTCTGCATATTGAGTTGCAAGAATTTTCTAAAACGATCATCAGCATTCAATAACCTGGCCAACTGTATTATTTTCTCTGTACTCAGCTTGCAAAACATGTAGTCAGGGGAGGAAAATATTTCTTTTTGAAGCAAAATACATAGGAGGAGGGGGTGGAATGAGATGTAAAATAACCCTTAACATAATTCCCAAATTATTTTGGAAGAAGTCAAAAATTACAGCTGGACTTTGTAATGAGTTTCAACTGGAAGCATAAAAATGAGGCACAGAATGCCAAATAAATAGGAACAGATGTAATCTTAAATTAGTACACTGTGTATATAATACATTTGGATAATAAAGTCAAGGAAAATAACCAGTTATGGCTTCACTGAACCACATTACGTGCAGGTTAAAAATAATAAAAGTTTAAAATTCTATTTTTTGACTCTGGTTTAGCAGATTTGAAATAAGAGACAGTAGTTCACATGATGTGTATAGGAACATTAGGTTAAAATATTCCACAATGTAGGATGCTATAGATGTCTATGGAGATTCTTAAGGTCAGTGATGGCTGCCCTTGACAACAGTCCTAGTTTCTCATGTGGTCCCTTGGAGAAAATTAATTGCCCACCCTTGCCCAAGATGGTTCCACACTCGTTCAGGTGACTCTGAAGACACAGCTTAACCCCAGGTGGTTCCAAGGACCTCTCAGAGTGTTAATGACTGTCTGACTGCAAGACTATAAATCCTTTCCATTCCTCACCAGTTAGTTAGAACTGAAGATCCTTCTTGGCTGAGAAGTGAAATGTCTTCAAGAAAAACTCTTTTTAAAATGCCATGTAGAAATGGTAATAATGTTTAGAAATTAGTGCTCACCTATATCTAGTTAAATTCAGCATGAGCTTTCTGCTATCTCACCTGTCTAAATCTGTTCTACTAATTATCATGCCCCCTTGGAGCCCAGTTTGGAGGAGGAGTTGGAACCGGGAGCGTCCAACGGAGATGGCACATCTCTCTTGGCATGTGTGGAGAGGCCAGGTGTCCCAACAATGCTGTCCCAGGTCTCTCAGGCATTGGGAGAAGTGGTCAACTGGACAGAGAACTGCCTGCCTTCACAAACATAAGGGAGGATCAGCTGCTGATAGGCAGTGGTGCTGACAGCAACTGATGAGGAACAGCTATCTCTCCTACTGGATCTAAGGACTCTCCCACTCACAGTCCACTCACAAGGAACACCTGGAGCGGACTGATTTAAAGAGAAGCCATGGAAAGTCAGTCTTTGCAAGGAACAATTTTTTGTTTTGGATTACACTCCCTCAACTTTGACTCGTGCCTTTTTCCTTGCTTTGAGGACTGCCATTTGCCTTGCGGACTGCTTTTGTCCTTTGCTTTATTTTACCTTCAGAAGTGCCTTTGCTTGTACCTTGTCTTTTCCTTGAGGAGTGCCATTTGTGCAGGGGTGCGATTCAAATTTTTTAGCAACCGTTTCTGTGGACGTGGCTTAGTTGGTGGGCATGGCTTGGTGGTCATGTGACTGGATGGACATGGCTTGGTGGCCATGTTATTGACTGGGCCTGGCCAACTCAATATCACTCACATCGAGGCATGTATCTCTTCGCCTGGCCTCTCATGACTTTGGGGATGATGTAACAGTCGTAAGTGTGAAAAATGGTCATAAGTCACTTTTTTCAGTGCCACTGTAACTTTGAATGGTCATTCCACACAAGCAAAGTAGCAGCAAAGGAGGGGAAAAAAACTCCAAAGAAGTTCCTGAGACAGGAAGTGTAATCCTGCCAAGAACGTAATAAGGGTTAACGGAGAGGCAGTTTCTGTAAGCAACACCAGAATGTTTCCTTCCTGCCTTTCTTACAGGATTAGGCCAGTAATTTCTTCTAACAACCGGTTCTCCGAACTGCTTAGAATGTTAACAACCGGTTCTAGCAAATAGGTGCGAACTGATAGAATCCCAACCTTGCATTTGTGTTATGCCTGGACTTTGCCTTGTGGATTTTCCTGGTAATATATGGGCTGTTGTTTGGGGGACTGAGGGTGGCTGCCTTCAGGGTATTGTGGAGTGGAGTCTTACTGGTAATTGGAGGGCTGTTTGTTGAACATTTCTTGAGGGAAATAAAGGACGCTCTAAAGGGCTGCCTTTAGAGAGTCCTTTATTTTGGGAAAGTTTCTGGCCAGGTACACAGTTCCTCCTTTATGCATCCTGAAGCCAAGATGGTTGGGCTTGAAAATGTTAAGCAGTCCAAGCTGGCCTCCCTGAGACCAGACCTCCTCATTGCTTCTCAGAAATTTCATTTCCATCTCCTGCGTTCTCCTTCCCAAATACACAGTGGCATTAAACCTGCTTGTTGTTTTTACGAAGTATTTTTAGACATATTTCTTCTTTAGGAAACAAGATGCCCAGGTAAGAGATGCTGTCCAAGTCTACACAGAAGATTGGGTCATCGTCAAGAAGAAGTAAGTTTAGTAACATTTTTTTATCATTTACAGTGTCTCCATTGTTGCAGTCTTTTTAAGAAACATTAAAAAGTGATTTTCTCGTATGTAATGGTAATAATGTAAGTTTCAAACACATGAGGCAGTTTACTCTTTTAGATCTGGGTTGGGAATACATGTATTTGTATTAACTTTTTAGTTGATTGACTATTTGATACATAGGAGTCACTATATTCAAAGCCATATTTATAGTTTTAACAATGATTCGATAATGATTCTGTGAAATATGTCATGATTGTCAGCTAACCTTGATTTTTGTGAATCTTTGACATGGAGGTCCCTGTATGGCAGAAGAGTACACTTAGCTTCTATGTGAAATCGGTACATTTCCTTTTCCTGCAGCCCATGTTTTACATTATTAAATTGCTGAGTCTAGTAAGTCTTGTTGATTTCAGCATGTTTTGAATAAGATAGTGGATCGTAGTATTCACGTAAAAGATTGTATATAATGGAATTCTGCCCTTGTTGTCATCCATTGTTCTACTTTCAGAATGTACTGAATAAACTGAAGTCCCTTGGATTTATAGGACTGCTCAACTTAGTGTGAATCTGGGAAGCATGCAACAGGAGCAAACAGAAAAATAATCATATAGTATTATAGTGGAACTGCAAAAAACTGCGCTACTCCGGACATTGTACATCTTAAGAAAATACTTGGTTAATACCTAGGATGCTGGCAGCAACCCATACAAACCATCAGAGCCAGTCAATGATATTTGTGATACATTTTTAAATGTTCAGTTGATTGAGTTTCATGTTTAATGAATAAAAGAGATAATAATAATAAATAATATTTATGAAAAAGTGAAAAAAACCAGTTTTATTCTAAGTGAGAGTGATGTAGTGCCAGTGTTTGTTTTGTGTTAGAGAAATAATTTCATTTTAGAGAAAGCAGAACTTTTAAGAAATTGTATGGTTCACTCAGATATTCATAGAAAGATGAATTAATCTAGGCATTTAATGAGATTGTCTTCAAATCTTTTCTGCATTCATGCTATCAATAGTTTTCCAACAGGAGTAACATCATTGTTTTTTCTGCCTTTGTTTAGGTACCAGAAACTGAGTACCATGTATAATGCCATTACTGCTGAGAGGCAAAGAGAAAGACAGAAAGGATTATCTAGGCAAGTCTTTGAATTAGATGAAGTAGTTGAAGAGAAGAGCAATCAAGGGGATACGGTAAGTCAAGTGAGAATGTAATAATTTATATAAAGCAACATGTTTGGCAACCTTCCATTTTCTTTATGTAATGTGAATGAGAGGACGGTGTCATGTTATGCCAAAAGCATATGCAGCAATCTCATAAACCCCAAACCTTATCTAAAACAATGTCTGGAATGTGAGGTCATATTGAGAAGCACACACTCTATAAACAGTAGTCCTTGACTTATGAACACAATTGACTCTAAAATTTCTATTGCTAAGCAAGAGTTAAGTGAGTTTCACTCAAATTCTACAACCTTTCTTGCCATATTTGTTAAGTGAACCTCTGCAGTTGTTAAAGTAGTAACACAGTTGCTAAGTGACTTTTCCTTTGACTTTGCTTGTCAGAAGGTTGCAAAAAGTGATCACATGACATTGGGACACTGCAACTGTCATAAATACATGTCAGTTGCTAAGTGTCTGAATTTTGATCATGTGACTATGGGGATGCTGTAGTGATCGTAAGTGTGAAAAATGGTCATAAGTCATTTTTTCTGTGTTATTTCAACTTTGAATGGTCACTGAACAAATGGTTGTAAATCAAGGACTACTTGTATATCATTTCCCTGAATGGCTTTGCCAGCTTTCTTAACCTTCAGGGAGTTCAAAAAGCAAGTTGGGAAATTAACATACCAGTTGAAAGCAGATACCAAAATACTCAAATCTATTTCTCCCCAGTTCTTTTGAAGAAAGCCAAATTCTCCCCACACACCCTTTGATTATCAGATCACATTTTTTCTAAAAGTAAAACAAAGGTGTAAAAGCAGAAAATGTATGGAGTGTGACCAAAACTAAGTTCACATTTGAATTGAATTCATTATACTTTGAATCTTCTGCGTGTTAGCTGGATTTTTAAGTTGAAAAACACCTCAATACTAGTCTGGTTTATGGAAATCTTCGTAAATATGCTTCTTACAATGTAAGCTTAATGTATTTAATGTACATTCAAATTCAAAATATGGAATTTTTTAATTTAGCCATTGACAGGCAAGATATGGCACAGAAGGAGTTCAATAACCAGAGGCAACAGTTGAAAGAAAAGCCAAGGGATGGGATGGGACAACTTACCATGGCCAACTCGTCATGGGACAACTTACCGCCGGACAATCCAACAATTGAATTTAATTATTTAAAATAATTTTTAAAATATTTTAATTTTTATCATTCACATTTCATTTTGTCCCTCCTTTTGCATCCTTTAATGATTCTGTAGCACCATTTCTTTGATATTAATGCAACTCATCTCCCATGGTGAATTGTCCCTCAGAGAAGTGGCCGTGGCAAGTTGTCCCATGGCGAGTTGACCATGTCAAGTGACCTTTAACTATCTTTGTACAAGTGCTTCCCCACAATTTGTCATTATCACTTTAATTATCACATTACAATTCATAATGTGTCTTGAAAACATGCAGTTGCTTTTGAAGGGACAAAACCCTCCCCTTGTCTTAATTCATAATTTAACTTTCAAGATACAATATAATCTAGATAATACATACAGCTATGCTGACTTAATTTTTGTCTTGTTTATTTCTGGCATGGAATATTACATTAAAAAAAGCTTCTCAAAAGCCGTATTTTTTTTAACTCACAAGGGTAGTATCTGATATTTGCAAAATCTAAGATGTAAAATTAGAGGGGAAATTACTAGATTGCATTAAAGGTGGAAAGTAGAGAAGAGACTCTGTCTTCTACTTATCCTCAGTACTGTAGTATGAACTCTTGCCTCACTTCATATATGCTGGTATTCTGCTCTAACATTGGAAGAGAAAACTAAGTCAGCTATAAGCAGTGCTAGCTTGGCTAAGATGTCTGCGTGCAAAAAGGCAATACTTGATATTTATTCGGAGCAGCATCCAGCTCTCAGGATTGGTGCTCATTTGCAATCTTTGAATTTGCTATCAGCAGCAGCACTACTACTCTTTGTTCTCTATAGGGCTGTAGTTAGACATTCACCCTTGTCTTAACAACAAATGCTGCTCCATCTATCTTTCAGGATGACATAAAGCGGAGCTCTGGTTCCTTGGAAGATATGCCCCGAGGCAGTTGGACATCCAGTATCTTTGACCTGAAGAATTCTGCAGCTGACTTTTTACTCCGTTCACTCCTGGTGCGCACTGCCATTGAAGAGACTGACTGTAGTAATGAGAAGCTACGCAAGAAGAACCGGCATCAGGAGATCTTGGCCCTTTACCCAGCCCCTGATGAAGTGAGTGGAAATACTGAGATTCCCTTTGGCTTTCTATGAAACCTGGTAGGATACAGCAGATGGGAGCCACATGAACCTACAAATGCATGTGTTTGCACAAAAGAAATAGGCAGTAGGTTATGTAGATTATTTTTCCATGCTGTGATCTTTGCCGAGTTTTGAGGGATTCGATCTCCATTGATTCTGACAACAAAGGGAAGCAATCTTCACTAAGTCTTGGTGGGCAGCCTTAGTGGTGGTAACTGGCTTTGCATGAGCGTACATTTTCTCTTTATGAAACTTTGGACTGGTCAACTTTTGCATCCCAAGGTCAGGCTTGCTTATTCTTAGTTGCTTGTTTGTTATTCTAACCCCTTGAAGTAACAACCAACAAATCTTTATTTAGTCATAACCAGAAGATAAAACACTCACTAATTAAGATAAAAAGATAAATATATAACATTTTAAAATATTTTTTAAAAAGAGGAATATTACAGCATATTGTAAAAACTATAAAGCAGTACTTACCTTGGTCAATCAAGTGAGATCTGATTGATCCGATAGTAGCAATTTAAGATTTCAGAATGACCAGGATACTTAGTGAAAAATGAAGACAATAATTCCTGATGAGGGGATAATAAGAAATAACATGATCCATCATTTCAATTATTTCTCCATCACATGGACAATCTCTGCTCAAAAGGAATATTTGGTATCTCTTCAGTAATAACTCTTGGGAGGGCATTAAATCTAGCCAAGAATAAATCCCTTCTAAATTTCAGAACTGTTAGGTAGTTTAGGTATCTGGCTGGTAGGAGAAAATTGGCAGAATGCCTCAAGAATAGGCTTCTAGGTAGAAATGATGAATTTGGTTGCAGTTCTATATTGATGGTCCATTGTTTGAAATCAGCTAGTGCAGTGGTTCCCAAGCTTTTTCAGTCCATTGCCCCCTTGGTGCTACAAACTTACCCTCAGTGCTCCCCATCCAGGGGTGGGATTCAAATTTCTTAACAACCGGTTCTGTGGGCATGGCCTAATTTGTGGGTGGTACTTGGGGAGTCATGTGACTGGGTAGGTTTGGTTTGGTGGTCATGTGACTGGGTGGGCATGGCCATGTGAGTGGCAAACAAAATACAAGTGGTCCTCGCTTAATGGCCGGTTGCTTAGCAAGTGTTCTAATTTATGACTGACCTCCCCAGAGCTACTTGACCGGTTTTTGGAGTTTTGACAGCCATGCAGACACACACATGTGCGCGCGCATGCGCACACATACACACACACACTCCCTTCTAAACCTGCTGGAGAAGTTGGTTGGACTAGATATCTCATTCACTTTCTCTTCCCTCTTTCTTTCTTTCTTTCTTTCTTTCTTTCTTTCTTTCTTTCTTTCTTTCTTTCTTTCTTTTTTTCTTTCTTTCTTTCCTTCCTTCTTTCTTTTTTCTTCCTTCCTTCCTTCCTTCCTTTCTCTTTCTTTCTGTCCCTTCCTTCCACCCCCCTTTCTTCGTCTATCCTTTTTCTTCCTTTCTCTTCCTTTCTCTCTCCCTTTTTCTTTCTTTCCCTTTTTCTTTTCTTTTTTGTCTCTTCTTTCTCTCTCTTTCCCTCTCTTTTTCTCTCCCTCCCTCCCTCCATATATCCCATTCACTTTCTCCTACCTCCCTCTCTTTCTCTTTCTTTCTGTCCCTTCCTTCCATCCCCCCTCTTTCTTTGTCCCTTTTCTTCCTTTCTCTTACTTTCTCTATCCCTTTTTCTTTCTTTCCCTTTTCTTCCCTTACTTTCTTGTCTCTTCCTCTCTCTCTCTCTTTCTCTCTCTCTCTCTCTCTCTTCCCTTCCTCCTTCGCTCTCTCCTCCTAAACTAGGAGACCCACCTGAAACACTCTCTCTCTCTCTCTCTTCCAACAAGGCAGCATTGCTCGTGATGAAGTCTCCCAGAGTCCCAGGGACTGGGCGTGATTGTTCGTTCATGCCTGGTGCCGCATTGCCTGGAAAAGCTGGCAGGCAAGGCTTCCAGGTCAACAAAGGGGCGGCAGGTGGGACTTCCACCTCTCCGGCTCTTGGGGAAAGGACTGGGAACTTCAAGTGAGGCTGCAGCCTTGCCACAGGAGTTGCGGGAGAATTGAGCTGCTGAAAAGGTGAACCAGCCTACCCTGACTAGCTCACCAGTCAGGGCAGACCTGTTGCTACTTGGCTTCCTGCCAGCCCACATCACGTCAGCTGCTGGGGGTTGTGGGTCGTGGCTGCTGAGGAGGAGTGCAGGAGGCAACCAGGAAGCACAAGGCTTACACTACCTGCATCGCCCCTCTGCCAGCTGCCCCTCCGAGCGTTTTAGTTGAGTGCGGGCCGCTGCTATGCAAGCTCAATGGGTGGAAGATCCGCTCTCGCAAGGCTTGACTCACATCATTCTCACAACGGTGGTCCACATTCAGCCAAATTGCGCAGGCTGGCGGGTGGCAGAGGGAAGGGAAGTAGGCGAGGGGCGATGCGGGAGGTATAGCATCGTGCTCCCTGGTCAACTCCCCCCACCCCTGCCCTAGCAGGCAAGGCCCAGCAGCTGTGGAGAATCCAGGTGGGACCCAAGCGGCAGTGGGTCAGCCCTGGTTCGCCTTCCTCTCGGCCACCACCAAGTGGGGTGTGGAGGAAGCTGAATTGCACCCTCCAAGGGGCCCACCTCCAGCACTCCTCTGCCACCCCCTTGCCTCTTAGTGCCCCCCTAAGTCATCCTCCCCAGGGGGCGGTACCACCCACTTTGGGAACCACTGAGCTAGTGCATGTTCATAGTGCACCAGTACGAGAGTTGCTCAAGTAAAGCTATAAAGATGGCAATTTAATATGTAGTGCCTGGCACCAGGAAAACTGAAAGGGTCAAGGGTCAGTCATAGTTAAAGGGTCAAGCCAAATAGAGTGGGGGGGGGGGAGCACAAGCCAGTAGAAGAAGATATAACTCCAAGCAGCAGTTTTGATATTAAGTAGGCCACAATGAAGTACTACATTTGGAAAGCAGCAAGATACTTGAAAAATAAATCTGATAAACATGGATTGAACTCTTTCAAGGGAAGTAAATTAGCCTAAGCAAATAAAGGAGAATTTTTGGAATGTTGCACAAATAAATGCAAAGGCAGAATAACAACATATTTTATGAGCTTTCAAAATCTCCATCTCTCTTAGCCTCTGGCTCACAATTGGGTCAATGACATATGTTACTTTGACTTCCCAGGAAGAGGCAGTAGAACGGTGCAGCATCCCAGATATTCCAAAAGAGCAGTTTGGGCAGAGGATCTTAGTGAAATGCTTGTCTCTGAAGTAAGTCACAATTTCTTGGCAACGTAGAGCTGCCAAATGTCCAGTAGAAAAAATGATTGAATGTAGAATAAAATGGGTTTTTTTTTTAAACTGTTGTTTTTGCTCAATGGTACTGTGCAAAAAGGGGGGGCAAAAGATGCCATGCAAGGTACAGCTTCACATGTACCGATTTTGCTGGAGGATGCACATGCATGTGCATTTGCTGCCATAGTGTGAAGGAGCTACATTATCACTCGGTTCTGTGAACACAGCAGACTTCTGTGATACAGTGCAAACAGGTAGATGGCAGAGTTACCTGAGAAGAAGTTACTTTGGTTTTGGATTCATATTCCTGAGCAGTGGAAGCTGCATGCTCCTGGCAGCCCAGCCTGCCAAACTGATGCCCAGAAATGCAGTTTGTATTGCCCACATACTTAGGATGGAGACAGAAGGAGATTTCCCAGTATGACAGCCAGAAGACGTTTCCTTCTCTAATGGATTTTGACTGATAGGAAAAAAAAATGAGGAAATGCAAGATGTTACCTTCCTCTATTACTACACTTCTCAAGTTTGAATAGTTGTTGGAAATCTTACACAACTTCAGAAGTTAATTTCTGAATGTTGTGTAAGATTTCCCACAACTTAATTATTTACAGATTTCCATTGTTGGATGACTGCAAAAGCCTCTTTTTGGTAAAAATCCAATTTTGCTTAAAACCATCTACTTGTTTAACAGTAAATTGCATTGAAATCTGTGTTCAATTAATTGATAAAGAGATGGCAGAAGAAAGCTTTATGTAAAATTCCTGCTAGTTCTGGTTCATACTCTGAGGTCCTCAGCTATGTCATTACAGAGAGGAGAAATGGGAAGGGGTCCATCTTTCTTTGATGCATCGAAGTCCACCATAATGATGAAGCAAAATAGTGTGAAAATGCTTTGTAGGGAGATTTATCTTGGGATTTCTAAGGGGTACCAGTATTTAATATCAGAAAAGTTCATTTATCCAATGGCAGGGGAGCATCTTGTTTCATTTAGATTAGGTATTAGAAGAAACCGGTCATATTTTGCTTATCATGGATGGAGGAATGGCAGTGGTGTTGATTATTCATGATTCCTTTTGATATAGAGCTCCAGATTCTTAACCGTTGTACTTGCTAGAGCAGGCCAAGGTAGTCAACTTTTTGCAATGTATTTCCTTTCATATTCTTTTCCATGAACTAGGTTTGAAATAGAAGTTGAACCCATCTTTGGATCACTGGCACTCTACGATGTGAAAGAAAAGAAAAAGGTACTTCTTGTTTCTGATTTCTCTTGGATAATGACAAGAAGTGCTGCTCTCTGTTCTGCCAGTTAAGCACAGCAGAATGTCAGTTGTAGATTTTATATTATTTTCCTTCTGATACCTCTATCAAAGACATGGAGAACATTAACTGGATTGCTCTGAAGCACACAGGATGGATATCTAATTTGCACTTTCTTAAGGCAACATGATTTAGGTTCATTTCTTCCCCTAAATTTGTAGCTATTTACATTTCCCCTCTTCTAATGGATAAGCAGAAACATTCAGATTTTTGAAAGAGAGAGTTTGTGTCTTTAGTTGAAGCAGCAAGTTCCTAATGATTCTTTTTTCAATTACAAATTTCAAAGAATGAAGGATGGATCATCTGAGTTAAGCAGATGATGCATTGGAAATAGCAACAGTGAACTTTACTTCCTTGTAGGTTGTATCTTATTTGATCCCCTTTCAAGTTCCTGGTGACTTTAAACAGAATAAAAAACTTAGTGGGCTGCATGTCCTAGATGTTTCTGTCTTTCTCCAATTGCTCTCCAGTCCCGACTAGGTTTCCCATGAAAATTGTTTTGATTTTTTTTATTCTGTGTGATGTATTATTTCTTGTTGTAATAATTTTTCTGAAATCAGTAAATAATGTATAGGTCCCTGACCTATTAATCACACATAGCCTCCAAAACCCCATAGTTCTACAATATGTGATATCACCAATGGAATTGTGCTAGAATTTTCACTTCTGGTTTTCCCATATTGAGGAGAATTAAAGGGCAAAATGTGTGCCTTAAGTCTTGGGTATCCTTAACATCCTCATCAAATCAGTCGTTCATGGCTTGAAAAGGTTGAGTGAGAAAACGGGCACCCTAAGTCCCTGCAATGGCTAAAATAAGAAAAACAAATGCAACGATTTCATCTGGCTGAATGCCACTGGTTATGATTCCTGTTGCTCTAGGTAGGGCACAGGAAACAAAAGTAGCTACAAGGCCAAACCCATTATTTCCTCCTATGCTAAAACATCCCCTGGCTATTAAGCAGATCTCACAGAAAACAAAGGGAATTGTTTGTGTTCCCATGTTGTTATATGAAGACTAAATCCAAGTATCTACCAAGAATAAGCTAGATTTCAATATTATATTCACCAGAGCTACAGTTAAAAGTTTCTCTTTTCTGGATACTGAGATGTTGCCTTTTGTATTTTGGTTGCTGTGAAGTCATGAAGAGATTTGATAGTATTTTTTGACTGCTGTCCTTCTCTCTGTTTTGTAGATCTCTGAAAATTTTTATTTTGATCTCAATTCGGAACATATGAAAAGCCTTCTCCGAACTCACAGTGCTCATCCTGCCATCTCTACACTAGCTCGTTCAGCTGTGTTCTCTCTTACACATCCTTCTCCAGAAATATTCTTGGTGATCAAGGTGAGATGTTTGTTGCCTTTTTAATAGTCACACTCACAGCCATTCTAATGAATGCTGTGGAGCAAATATTACTATATATACCATTATTTCACATGAATGCAAAACGTTCATGCGTCTGTGAAGAAAGCATGTATTTTGGAATCCCTGATTCATCTCAATAAAGTTTGATTCTCTGAAATTAATGGATCTCAATAAAGTTGAAAGTCAAGAGGATGCAGCTTTAGTTTCCTCCAGTTATTTGTATGGGAGGACAGTCTCTTTTTATCTGCTCAGAAAACAGAATGTCAAATAGATTAGCTAGCCATACAATGTCCTTTCCTAGGAAACACCTAAGACCAACAGCAGACAAAAAAACGTTTCTTGTTAAGTAGAAGGTAAAAGATGCACCCATCTCCTCTGATATGCCATGCTCTCTGTCTTTAAAATGTAAAGAAAAGAGGTGCATTTTCTTAAATAAGTCTGATTTTGACTTTTCAGTTTTCAAAAACATCTGGCATTGAGATGTTACTTCTGATCCTTGTATGTTTTTCAAAAACAAGGGATAAATTCACAAATCCTGTTTAATCCTTATTCAGTTAAATTTATTATACCTTCTTCAGCTGGGAAAATAGGAATTGGATATAACTCATAGTGGGAGCACTTATTTCTAGGCTTTTTTTTTTAAAAAAAGAATGTTTCCCCCAAGTTTCTAACGCTAACCCTAACCCCCAATTGTTCCTTGGGTTTTTCACTTGTCTACTCAATGTTTTCTATTTCCAGTTTTTAAAGTAATTACATGCAGTTATTTCATGAAATACTCAAATTACAATACAATTAAATACTAACAAAACATGGCATGTTCTGAAGCCAAAGTCTAGTTAAGGATCCTCTCTAGATTCCCTGTCAATGAAAAAGAATTAAGTACATTCTAAGTAAAGAAAATATCCTTTGTTCTAGTCACACATATTTTGTTCCAACTGACTTCATACTGTACATACCATATTAGGCTGTTTAGGTATTTCAGACAGAGTGAATGTATAGTTGTTTTCTACAGCTTAGATGTTTTATCTCTCACTATCTCTCAAACGGACATAGTATCTGCTCCTTTCAAGGGATAATCACTTTGATTATCAATCTTCAGAGTGGGAGAAAGTGTTCAGTGTATGATAAACTGCATTATGAGGCAAGATGTACATTCAAGTGGAATGTAACAGCTAGTGACTAGTCCTTGACTTAAGACCATAATTGGGACCAAAATTTCCATTACTAAGTAAGGCAGTTAAGTGAGTTGTACCCCATTTTACAACCTTTTATGCCAATGTTCTTAAGCAAAATCGCTGCGGTTAAGTGAATCATGCAGTTGTTACGTCTTCCCCTATTCTTTGCTTCTTAGAAGTCAGGTGTGAAGTTCACAAATGGTGATCCAAGTGATCTCAGGATTCTGCAGTCATTGCAAAAATATGCTGGTTGCCAAGCACCCAAATTTTTATCAAGTGATCATGGAAATGCTGTAATGGTTGTAAACACGATGATCAGTTATATGTTACTTTTTTCACTGCTGTTTAATTTCAAACAATCGCTAAAAGAATTGTTGTGAGTTGAGAATTAACTGTACTAGGTTTCAATTAGTGATATTGGTGGGAATATTTTTTATTCTGTGAAAATTGTGTCACCTCTATGATTCCGTTACTAAGCACTAATGAAGAATTGATTCCCTCTTTACAATAATCATAGAGTTCATAGGTTCTCTACCTAGCTTTGATCTATCTAACATCAAACAACAGCTGGAAAATTGGTGATGACTATGGGGAATCTTTCTGTTCAGAAATGATGATGACTGCATTATTAATAACAGTGACAAGCTTTGATTCATGGGCTCAGTTTTTCATTCATTCATTCAAAAAGGATCCCATAACTGAGTGTCAAATCACAACTTGCACTTTTTTCTTAAAACATGTCTTTGCATATCTGCCTCAAGCTTGATCACATTAAGAGATTTGGGATGGAATTTCCTTGGAAAAGGTATAGTCCACAGAGCTATTGCATGTAATATCCTGTCTTCTGAACATGTTAACTTTAGATTCCAGCACAAAGCCAGAATTTTACAACAGAGTTAATGCCTATGTTATTTTTTTCATTCTTTTGAATTGCTAGCAAAAAAGAACTTTGTTAATAAATCACACTTGTCATTCCAATTTTATTCCCCTAGTATTGAAAAAAGCCATTTCTGAATATAGGACTAGTTGTCTCAGTTCTGGTTTTAAAAGTTGGTTTTCTTGTCTTGTAAATGAATAACACTTGAGATGGTGCTCAAAATATCTTGATTTTATTCTTTGAAACTTCAGGATATCTGTTAGATTATTTCTTCAGGATGTCTATTAGGTTTGTGACACATTGTGTAACATGTTTTCTCTTCCGTTATAGCTAGAGAAAGTGCTACAGCAAGGGGACATCAGTGAATGCTGTGAACCTTATATGGTCATGAAGGAAACAGATGCTTTGAAGGTAGATGAAATCCAGATGAAACTGACAGCTGTGTGTGTAATTCCAATAGAAGATAACGTAGGTAGTTCAAGGGTGAACTGTGGAATTCTTGGTTCTCTGAACTTGGTGGTTTGTTGCAGACATTTCATTCCAGAGTTGGTAACGTTAGTTTGAGTGTGAGGTTTACTGCCTGATTATATATAGTAGCTTGCTCTGCCAGATTGTTTTTTTTTTTGGGGGGGGGGGGCGGAGGATATTTTGAAAATAGATGATTGTATTATGTAGGACAGACCTGTTAATTTAGCTTAATTTCATCTGAATCATTCCCCTAACTGCAGTCATTTTCACTGGAATAATAATAGTTTGTCATTCAGAATGATAATTTGGGCAGCTTTTCCTAACACAGTGCCTTCAGCTCACATAATTTTCTGCCATTTTGCCTTTTGTAGCCCAACACATCTACACAGCACAAATTTGGTTAAAATTGTAATAAGGATCAAACAATTAGAATTGAAACACAGCGATGGTGTTTTCTGCTTGTGCTTTCAGAACAAGGAGAAGTTGGAGAAGCTGCGAGTGACAGGAGAACAATTTTGCACCCGGTTGGGGCGCTACCGTATGCCGTTTGCCTGGACTGCCATCCACCTCATGAATATAATTAGCACTACTGGGATGCTTGAGAGGGATGCTTCGGACTCTGAAAATGGTTAGTCATTTAAGGCTGAACTCAGTGGAGAAGAATTATCTGCATTTGCATAATAATTTCTCTTTGAATTCAGTTCTACTTGTTTGGGTATTTAGGTCTTGGCCCCAAGATAGGATAGGAACGAATAATTTCTGGATCAAATTTAAAACTCTCTCTGTGAGAATGGGCACTGTGCCATAGGTGGTTTGAGTGAAAAATAGAATGCATAATGTGGGGTGATGAGGAAAGCTGTCTTTGAAAAGCATTTGGAAGCTGCAGCTCATGCAAAATGGAGTAGCACTGGCAGTTATTTGTGCTCCTCAGTCAGTGCACATTGCATCTCTACTCCATGAGCTGCACTGATTACCGGTATGCTCCCAGGTGCATTTCAAAGTGCTAATAATGACCTATAAAGCCATACATGGCATGGAATCAGGCTATTTCAGGGATACCTTTTCTGTCTGATAATGGTGGGGAACCTTTACACTGTTGAGCTTGATTCAAGAATGGACTTTGACCACTGGCCATGCTTATTTTTATTTTCTAAGTGGCTTCTGGCATTTTATGTTTCTATTTTTTATTTTGAGATTGTTGTTTTTAACTATTGTAAGCTTCCCAGAATCACTTAAGTCAGATGGGAGGCCATACAAAATAAAGTAAATCAAGCAGGGTAGATCTGTTGATAGATTACCTCATAAATGACAATTCAGTTCATGTGGGGAAACATTTAAATGAGACTTCACTTTAATTAACTCACTTTAAATTCTCAACTTAAAAATGTGATTCTAAATGAGGCTCTGAAATTTTTCTTAGTTTCCAAGAGTTTCTATTTATTTAGCATTAAAGATAACTTGCTGAAATACATGCTGTTTTTTTTTCCCTTTGGTCTTGCCAGCTATGGTGCATGGGCTTGACACATTAGAAAGTATATTATTCTTCCAGAATGAAAACGAAGATGCCTTGTGCCCGGCATCAGGAAGAAAATGCCATTCCTTTCCCCTGGCTGAGTCATTCTTTCTGATAGTTTACTAGCACAAGACAATTGCAGTCAACATAAAACTGACATGCAGGCATTCAACATGAGGATCCCAATACTGCAATACAGAGTGATGCATTTTATTTATGACCATGAGGGTGGAAACCAATTCTAAGGAAATCAACTTTTTTAAAAAAGAAAGGGATACTCTTTCAGTAGATTCACAATTAGAGATAAGCAATTTAAGTCCATCTTAGTGGTCATATTTCAAGGTCCCTTGTTTGAATGCTGTTTGCAAACTTCATTGTGTCTTGTCTCTGCTATAGTGTTCACATAGCTTTTTATATTCCACTGACTCCCTCTGGGAGCTTTGGAGATACCCCCTGACAAGAGTCATCAGAATATAGCGTTGTAATGGACTGTGATAGTTTAGGGCCCATTTTCAGGATACTGAGATTCCCTTCCAGGCAGATGTATTAATGGTTTGTGTTCTATTTCTTGGAGGCTCTTTTGATTTGCTTTTGTTTTTAAAAAGCATGAGAATAATTTTCAAAAATGGCTAATTGGTCCTCTACTCTCTCAGACAGATTATATGCAAACTGTAGTCTGTATCCCTTATGTTTGCCTTTGAAATAAGATTACTCTCTTTTTCTGTGCTGGAGATAAGGAATTTGAAGACCATAATAGTATCTCATCTAACTGTTAGGTTATTTCTTGCTTATGACCTCTAAGGGCAGGTGCATGCCTTTCCCATTGAACACACTCTTCTTTTGCAGAGCGCAAAGGTACCTGGAATGAGCGCAAGAGGAAAGCCTATGGACGCTTGAGTGTTGGGGAGGAGATGTGCAGCTTTAGCAACTTCCGTCCAGCCACCCTCACAATCACCAATTTTTTCAAACAGGTTACAAGTTAGAATGTTTTTTTGGACTAGTCTCACCCAGAGCATCATGTAGATTTAACATTTCTGTGAGAATGTAGACATAGAATCAGAGGGGCTGTTTGTATGGCACTGTTTGTTTCCTCGATGCATCTGTGAAGTGGCTAAAGCATGAATTTCCAGAATCTCTTCTGGCAAAAATGGTAATTAGTCTGCCATGAAAGAGTGGGGAAATCCCTTTTCCTTTTCCTCCCAAAATGAAAATATGCCAGTGGGATGGACACAGAGTTCTTGCTTAATAGAATGGGTAAGCCCCAGGGTCTTAAAGGAAGGTGGCTGGGAGAAACAAAGCCTTCAAGATGCCCTTGTCTCCATATTCCTTGGCATGCTGCACTTCTAAAGTGTTTCTTTTTAAATATTGTTTTAATCAACATTAAAAAGATTACAGTTAACATATCTTTAAAAAGTTTAGTCATCAATTTGTAATGCTACATTTTAAGTAACTGCAGTATAACTATATGAATTGTATTACTATAGTATAAATATCTACATACTTTAGAAAAAAACTCTAATGTACTACTGGTAGTCCTAAACTTACGACTACAGTTGAGGCCAAAATTTCTGTTGTTAAGTGAAACATTTAAGTTAAGTGAGTTTTGCCCCATTTTTCTTGCCACAGTTGTTGAGTGAATGACTGCAGTTGATAAGTCAGTGTAGTGAAGTCCTTCACTGAAAAGTAAAGTCCTACACTTGGGCAAGAAAAACCAAAAGCACACATATAGACTGGGTGAAACCAGGCTCAATAGCAGTAACTGTGAGAGGGATCTTGGAGTCTTAGTGGACAACCAGTTAACTGAGCTAGCAGTGTGCGGTGGCAGCCAAAAAAGCCAATGCAATCCTAAATTGCATTAACAGAGGGATACCATCAAGATCAAGGGAAGTACTAATGCCACTCTATAAAGCCTTAGTAAGACCACACCTAGAGTACTGCATCCAGTTTTGGTCACCACACTATAAAAAAGATGTTGAGATTCTAGAAAAAGTACAGAGAAGAACAACCAGGATGATTAGGGGACTGGAGACTAAAACATATGAAGAACGGTTACAGGAACTGGGCTTGACTAGTCTAGTGAAGAGAAGGACCAGGGGAGACATGATAGCATGTCTTCCAATATTTGAGGGGCTGCCACAGAGAGGAGTGGGGGGGGGGATGTCAACTTGTTTTTCAAGGCACCTGTAGGTGAGACAAGGAATAATGGATGGAAACTTGAACAAGGAGAGATTTAACCTGGAAATAAGGAGAAATTTTCTCACAGTGAGAATAATCAACCAATGAAACAGCTTGCCTTCAGAAGTTGTGGAAGCTTCATCACTTGGGACTTTCAAGAAGAGATTGGACTGCCATTTGTCAGAAATGGTGTAGGGTCTCCTGCTTGTGTGGGGGGTTGGACTAGATGACCTACAAGGTCCCTTCCAACTCTGTTAATCTGTTAACCTGGTTGTTAAGTGAATCTGACTTTCCCCATTGACTTTGCTTGTCAGACGGTTGCCAAAAGTAATCACACAACCTCGAAACACGGCAATGGTTATAAATATGAACCAGTTGCCTAGCATTGGAATTTTGATCACATGATCATGGGGATGCTGCAAAGGTCATAACTGTGAAAAATGGCCATAAGTCACTTTTTTAGTGCCACTGTAACTTTCCACTGTCACTAAATGTACTGTAGTAAGTCGAGGACTATCTTTATATCTCTATAAACAAGAGGAAAAATAGAAAGAAAATCATACCAAATGACCTAGGGAGAAGAATAAAACCAAAATGACCTCTGTAAAATTGAAAAACAAACCCTACAAAAAAAACTGAACAGATTAATCTTATTAATCAAATCAACACATTTTCAGCCTATTTTCAGTACAAAGCAGATTTGAAGGCTGAGAGTCTTGGCATGTTGTGCCCTCTGTCTTGATTTTTGAATATTGAAGCTCTGTATGAACATTTGTGGGTGAGAGGTAATAGAGAACATTCATGAGAGGCGTTATTCATTATACTAGTGAATGCCACCTTATTTGTTTTTCTTCTGCCTCTCTTCATTGTCAGGAAGGTGATCGTCTTAGTGATGAGGACTTGTACAAGTTTCTAGCAGATATGAGGCGCCCATCTTCTGTCCTGAGAAGACTCCGTCCAGTTACAGGTAAAATAGGGTATTGTAATACCAATCTCTGCCCCTTTATGTTACTTCTTCTATCATGATCTTTTCTGAATCCCAATGTATTTCAAATTGTGTTATGAAGTAGAACTGAACTGCCAGTTTTCAACTGGTACTTTGGAAATTGCATTGTGGTAAATGAAATATCCATTCCTCAAAGTACTGAAATAGCTACATTCTCTAGAGAGCTCAGCCTGATGAAGTCAAAGGCTTTTATTTATTTATTTGTATTCCACCTCTATTGTTTTTACAAATAACTCAAAGTGTTGAACATATCTAACATATCTTCCTCCTCCTATTTTCCCCACAACAACTCAGTGGGGTGGGCTGGGCTGAGAAAAAGTGACTGATCCAAGGTCACTTAGCCAGCTTTCATGGCTAAGGCTGGATTAAAACTCACTGTCTTTCTAGCCTGATGCCACTAGACCAAATTGACTCTCTTTTGGCTATGCAGGCATCCATCCACAAAACCTGGACTCACAAAGCTATCAGCCATGCAGAGTCACTATATTCATTCATTCATTCATTCATTCATTCATTCATTCATTCATTCATT